CACATCCACTGCACCACACAGCTTGGTGTTGTCACCAGACTTGCTGAGGGTGCACTCAATCCCACTGTCCATGTCGACGACAAAGATGTTAAATAGCACCGGTCCCAGTACCAATCCCTGAGGGACACCACACATCACCAGTCTCCAGTCAGACATCAAGCCGTGGATCGCAACTCTCTGAGCGCGACCATCAGCCAATTCCTTATCCAGCAGGTGGTCCATTCATCAAATCCAGATTTTTCCAATTTGGCCACAAGGATGCCATGCGGGACAGTGTCAAAATGAGCAAGATGATGAGCAAGATCATGAGCAAGAAAAAATTGTTCAACCCAACTTTCCTGTATGAATTGTTGGGAATTGCTGGCGTTTGAACAGAAAGCAATGTACTGCTCGCACTGTCAGGAGGCAATCTTTAGGTTCTTTCTAAAAGCACCACAGTGGTGTAAATGGTGTGACTGCTTAAGGATTGAAAGGACAACAGAGAAAAAGCATACACATCTTGTAAATGACACGTGTGGCTTCAGTTATTATCATTACACCTGTAACCTATTCATCGTTAAGACAACCACACACCCCTTTGACTGGAAAATACGTTGAAGACAATAAAACAACTTTTAAACACTTTGCTTAATACGCATGATGCCTTTCCTTAATGTTCACAAGAATTCTGAATTTTGGATCTTTAGAATACCCAAGAGCCCCTTTTCAACTAAAGTTCATTAAATCCTCGTGTTTGTATATTTCTTAGATTTCTGTATCACAACTCCATGTATTCCACCTCTCTGAATACCTCTCACACTAAATGATAACAAACTGGTTTAGTATAAGATTAACCGATGAATTTAAATACATGAAAGTCAAGAAGTTAAAATTCTCATATTTACGGTTCCACAAACTGCAGCAATATATTACGATTACAATCAAGTTGTCTATCAAATGTATGTCATTTTATACAGAAACCAAAATTTTTATTCCCTGATTTTGAAATCATTGCACTCTGTCAGTAGCTTATTTTTATGTGATTATCATTAAAATTTTTTTATTTTATTTTTGCAAGCCTCCAGTTTACCGTAAAATTCATGTTTTCATAAATGCTGTGAGAGCACAGCATTTAAAATATGTTACATTCAATCCTTAATGGTACCAACAGTTTAGAATGAAGACAATCAAGTCAAACATCATAAATGCAGAACAGTATTTTTATTTAGTAAATGGAGAGTACTAAAGCACAAGATTTTGCAAAATTAATTTTTATACCAGCCAGCAACAAACCAGGGTAAGTGGCAAAATTAAAGTGAAAAAATGTTTTACTACACTGTAAAGCATATGGAGACTACACTACTGCTTTTAGCAAGAGAAATTTTATTCCCTGCCATACACCTCACAGTAAAGTAAGAAACAAATAGAGGTGATGGAAAGGAAACAGCTGGAAAAATGTAGAACTTCTCTCATTTAATTCACAGCAACTAACCCAAGGGCCATAGCTGGCAAGCGTACAACTTACAGTTATGGCACACGTTACAATATGCAGCAAACACCTCCTTCAGACATACCGCAATCAATATATCAAAAAACCTAACAACACAATTGGGGGTGTCCTGCTCTTAGAATCACAGAATCATGGAATGGCTAGGGTTGGAAAGGACCTTAAAGATCTAAGTACCCAGGTGCACTAGTAATGGAGCAGTAAACACAGTGATAAGCTACCTTGTGCTAGAAAAGCCAAAACCTACCAGAGCAAGGGAGAATGGAGATCTAGACACTGTCTGACTTAAAATCCAAGGCAGCATTAGCTTGCTCTCTGAAAGAGGGTAACAGATTCTTGCCAACAACTACGATGGCATTCAGCCACTTAGGGATCGCAACTGGAAGGCTCACCTTTACGGGAAAGGGACACACTATTGCATGGGACCTGTCCTTCGACCAGTAGCTACAAGTAGAGCAAGAACAGCCCCAAGGGAGGAAAGGGAGCCTTGTTGTCCAGAAGAAGTAGGCTTGACTCAAGGGCAACATTTTCAGGGCTAGTGAATAACTTCACATTAAATATGAAGGTGGCCGCCATAGAAAAACCTTTTCCAGTCACCTGAAAGGTTCTGTGGTAGACAGAAACTTCTACTTCAGCACAACACAAAGGCACAAGCCAAGGGTATAAGAGTATCCCTGTGAAGGAAAACAGTTTCTATAAGAGTCAACAAGGAGAGAGAAAATAAGGTCTTCAGGGAAAGAATAATCAAATTACCAATATCATCATTATGTGGGTCCCTAGGTGGGATACCAGTAGTGTGCGAAAGGAGTGCATTTCCTTCCAAATAATTATCAGAATAAACTAGCAATTTAAATCTTCTGAATTAATCTATTTTACTTTGTTGCAATAACAACAAAAGAAACACACACATTGTACTCTTTATTTCAGTGGGACTGTAAGGAACCTTTGCCTGTAATACTTTAAAAAGAAGAATGGCAGCAATCACTTTTAGACAGATTTTGAACTACTAAAATTCAAGTGACGTTTGAACTATGGAACTATTTTCCTGTGGAGGAAGGACAGCTACCATCTTACCTTTTGTAGGGACAAAGGTTTAAAAACTGAAGAAAATGAAGAAGTGATCTTTTGCAGATTTTTTTTAAAGCACTCCTCTAGAATAAAAAACAAATTTGCCTTCATTTTATTCTATAAAAGCAGAAGATCATTTTTTTACCACAATCATTCTGCACTTTAACATGAGTAACTCTACAATCATTAAATAAATCTTACAGAAAAATTTTCAAGGAGCTCCACAGCTTTAGTTTTTAGATGCACTGACTGTATATAATGTTTGGGGAATTCTCAAATAGGCATTCATAACTAACATCAAAAGACACTTTCATTCAAATTTTCTTCTCTTATGAGTTAATATTAGACTGTGCTAGGGAAAAAAAAAAAAATCTATCAAGCTTCTATAAAACTAATACTTAGTAGTTTACTGAATCTCAAATTGAACATATTCTGCACATTACTTTCCAAAAACTTCACAGACAGAGGAAGGAATTCTGCAAGCATACCAAGACACTTAAATTTAGGGGTCTAACACTTGTTATAGTCAATGAAGACCTGACCAATGCCCTCAAAGGCACCTAGAGTGTGATTCAGCTCATCATAAATTAGGTTAACTGAATTGCTCTCTAAGCAACTTTGACAGTACTGATTAGCTCTTCAAAGGACTGCAACAGGAGTTCAGGAGTTAAGAGTACATGCTGACACCTAACATAAGGCACCTGAACCTGAGGACAGAAATTCCATCCTCAGTTTCCTAACTGATGTTAAGCAAAGAATTGAACTACAGCTCAGTGCATGAAAAACGCTGTTTTGAAAGAATTTTCCATTCAGCATCAGAAAACAAATGCAGAGTAGGAAATTAAGAAAAGCACCTCCTACCTGAAAAGGCATGCTAAACAGCTCAAAAAATTTTTCAAATTATGGGAGCTAAATAAATTAAATAAAAGCCTTTTATGCTTTGAAGAATGAAAGCCTACCTTCTTTTAATTTCAAGGATTCAAGTAGCCTATCTAATTTTCCTGGGAAACCTTAAAAAAAAAAGTGAAGCACTAAAAAGGTACAGGATAACAGAAATGCTAAAAAAAAAACAAAACACCTTATTGATGAAGAAAACAACAGGTTTTGTTTTTTAACAAAAGAGGTACGCCTCTCTGTGTTAGTATCTCAGGAGAAAGAGCAACACGCAATACAGCCTCACCTTCCGTAAGGCTGTTAAAATTCCATACATTCACCTTAGAATTATTCTGGAAGTATTTATTTAAAACCAGACCTCCTACATCTACAACACACACATAGACTAGAAGCAATTATCAAAACAACAATTAGAGTATGTTTTAACTTTAAAGTTTCCCCGTTTCAAATTATCAGTGAAAATTAGGAGAAAGTTCAAGGCTCGCTGTTTTCACTTACATCTAAATGCCATGGGCAATTCCTTTGTCTCCTCCTCCCCATCTCTCTGCCTTTTTGGTACGGCAAAAATATATGTAAAAAGCCCTTTCCTTTTAGAAGACCTCCTATTCTCATGATCTTATATCACAGTTATGCAATCAAATTCATACACTGAAACAGGCAAGTCAAAAATACATTTCATGTAATATCCTAAAGCTCCGAAAATACAATCTATAGCTCCAGTATTCGCACACTGCGATTCATTATATAGCTATCTGTAGACCACGTCCTGTGCTGTAGTTGCTTATATTTGCTTTGCTAAATTAGACAGATGTTTCACCACTAAAAAGGATCCATATAGTATTACAAAAAATTACCCGCCAGAGTTCAAAGGCTTTTCTTTTTGAAGAAAACAAGTCAAATTTAATTAAAAGCAAAGCATATGTTTTCCTCACGCAATGAGAATGAAGAGCTGTATTACCTTCATGCACTGTTATTCCACAGTTGTCACACTGGATTATTTCATCAGCATCTTCACTGTTATCTCCAAGACAAACGCAACAAATCAAAATATGGTCCATTTTCTGGGAACTCCAATTTTGAGACTTCTCAAGGATCAATGAGTCCTAATATTGAAAAATGAAGACACATTATGCCAGGAACTTCAATTTTACTTCAAACAAAACATCTGCTATTTGCTCACTTTTGAGCAACAAGCAAAAAAAAAAAGCTGGAAAATTATTTCACAAGTTAAAAGCTTCTTTTGTTGTCAAAACATTTAAACACTCCATCCACAAATGTAAGAGCCAGGAGAAAGGATGGATATAATCTGATTTCAATACACATTTGGATCTGTTAAGATCCAAAGGCCAGAGAAGGGTCATATTTCCTTAGACAGAATCATATATGTCTTTAAACTATTTACGTTGTAGATGAAGGTGTAAATACACACACCTAAGTAACCATTTGAAAGGAAAAAAAAAAACCAAAAAACAAAAAACAAACAAACAAAAAAAACAAAACAAGGCCAAAGGTGACCTTCAAATGCCACAATATTCAGAAGTGTTGCTTCATATTTGTTAAAATTTGCAACTTCCAAAAAAAAAAGTCACATGGATCTGAAAAATCTGAAAATAAACAGCTAATGGAAGCCTGCCAAGTCTTAACTTATGTAAAATACAACAAATTATCAACACTGTTCTATTTTTCTAATGCAAATTTATATGTCTCTATGCAAAACCATATGATTTATTAAAGCTATAACAACTTATTTTCTTCTGATTATATACAGGAGTAAGGATTTGCAGAACAAGTACATTGCTCCGTTTTGGAAACCTTCAGTATTGAACTACACCACTTAAAAAAAAACGGGGCTTTTAATAAGGAATTTCTCTAAGGAAACACAGACAAATGTTTCACAAACCAAATAAAGCTGTATGTAAATTTTAATTTTTTCATAAACACCACCCAGGCTTCTCATTATTTTCATTGTGAGGTATAGCCACTGTCTCTTCTGCAAAGTTTCACAGCTTCCACATGTTTTATTTGTATACTAAAAGCAAACACTGAGCTTCATTGCTGATATGAAGACATATAGGGATGTGTGAAATTAGGCACACTAGTGAAAAACAAACATTGCAGGATAAAGAAACAGTAATCGCTTCAGAGCAGAGGCTGACAACTCAAGCCTAAATAGCATCCATTCAGAATATTGATCTCAGAAAACTCAGATCTGAGGATATTCCAAAACTGCTGTTGTATCCTACCGGAAAAAAAAAAAAAAATTAGGTGGCAGGTGCCCCCTCAAACATCTTTTTCTCACTTCAGCTCCCCATTTATGAATTAAAACATGGCATCAATACCGTGCCTGTGTAGCCTAAGCAGACAAAAAGTATCATGAATAGCTGAAGTAGGTATTCTTCCTCAAGGATCTTAAAATTCTCGCACTGATCTATGCAACTATTTCATGACAGCCTCTCAATCCGATACAGTAAGTCTCCACACAGAATTTTCAGTGAATCACTAATGAAGTCTCTTTGTACTTTAGATTTATCTGGGCCCGTATTTGGGGGGGTAAGGGAGGGAATCTTTGCTTGATTTTAAAACAAGACAAAGGGCTAAAGTAACCTCACAACCCAAAACTGGGCTCAAATAGTTTACCTCAAGTAACAGAGGTGGCTTGTTATAATATTTTTGACCTAGGAAAGGTCAAACACATATTTCTAGCAGTTAGGAAACGCTTCTGCATCTCTCATCCATTTTCTCTAAACAATATAAGGAAACATGACCTATAAAAAATCCCTCAACTATAGGTAAAAATGAAAGACTATAAAACCATTCACACGGTCATGCCTGCTTACAGGAAGGCCACTAATTGTGAAAAATACAAGATTCTCCCCTGCAGAGTTCAGACTTACAGATCATATCTTCCAATATCCTCTTTTCAGGACAAAGCTGCAAAACATTTTGAGGAAATCAAGAATCTTGCACATTTTTTTCCAAAATACTGTGGCCCGTCATTACTCAAAACACCCACTTTTAGTTTACCAGTCACATTACAGACAGAAAAATGGCAGTGGATACTTCCGAACTAAAACAGCCTAATTGTGCAATGGCACAGGCTTCTCAGACGCACCTCACAACTCTGCAAACATCAGCTTTTTCTGACACTACCTTTGACTTAAGCTGTTATTTGGCTTCAATAACAGAAGTCTGAAAGAAACTTGTGATCTCTACTGTTACAGAAGCCCAAGGTCTGGTAATTTAAAAAAAAGGAAAAAAAAAATCCCAAAACCAAACTATTACTTTAAATTAAATAAACAGAATTGCACTGTAAAACCAACACTGAAATAACACCAGCTGTTCAGGCAGTGAGAACATATGCAAACATGGAGAAAAAAAAGAAACAAGCAATGATGGAAGGGCATCAAATACAGATCTAATGTTAGGATCCTCATCCATTATGATTTACCTTATACGAAGACAGCCAACAGGTCAAACAGAGCAGCAGAGTAACTTAATTTTCTATGCAGACACGGAGAATGAGTGATCTGGAACATATGCTGCTCTCCTCTGCTTAGTCCATGTAAGAACCTGAAAGACCCCATCCCAGAAGCTGACCCTACTTGTCTAAAACATAGGAACTTTTATGTAGAGACAGCAACTGCTGCCAACTCCTGAACAAGTCCTGTTCCCTACTCAAGTGAAAGAAAGCATATCAGCTGAATCACTGTGTAATTCCCATTTCTGTGGTTTTAATTAAGTGAGCATTTCAAGCTATATGGCTCTATACCTCTAACTTTAAAGGAATAAAAAAAATTAAAAAATAACCACCTCACTGAGAACAGAAGAATTCCATAAAGCAGTAGCAATTATAAAAACAGAAAAGCACCATTTATCTACTAATGAAGCTTGACCCTAGAAAAAGAAAGCTGAGTTTTTCTCCTGCGCTTAATACAGTAGAAAAGCAGTATCTCATTACAGCACTGGTTAAAATACTGTATATGCATACCTCAAAATATTATTGTAAAATGTAGAAAAAGAAAATAAAATTACACAGAAACAAAACAAAAACAACTCACCCTCAACATGCCCCCAACACCCACCCTCAAAAGTAAGTAAAAGAAGAATGCATGTTAAGGACACTACTACATGTTCAGAGTCTATTACCTGAACATTCTTCATAAATTAATTATGCATTCAGACATCTGTTTTTCTAAGAACTTAGCTTCTGCGGTATAATGAGAGTTTTCTAGACTTGTCTGCTAGAGATGATTTTTTTTTACTAGTTTAAAATATTGTAGCAGTGGAGAGTAAACTGTTTTAATACACTTGAGTATCAATCTGAAAATTAGTCTACAACCCAGTCTAAAGACACTCACTATTTTAAGACTTCTTGTTAAAGACCTACTAACAAACAGTACTTCGCTTTACATGAAGTAAAGATAAATTATCAGTTACAAAATTATAACTTGAACTTCAAATTTTCAATTTTTCATTTTATCTGTTGATCAGTGTCCTAAATCCAAGGCAACAACAGACTCTGAGGACCATACATATTAAGCAGCTTTGCTCAAGTTACACCAGAGACAGCTCTGGGTTTCTGAAACAGGCCTAATTTTCCAAACAATGGAAATTATGGATATATTCAAGAATCACCCCTAAGAACAGACTCACATCTCTATTCTGATTTGGGAAACAACTCTGAAAGAAAATTGCCTATCTCTAATTGAAGTTCTGATCATCGGTATTGGTAGAGCACTTTCAGCTCTGGAGCCAAGAAAATACAGGTAACAACACCAGAATTACAAAGCTAGACAATGAAAGATGTCTACACAAAAAGTAAAAAAAATTCTAGAATTATGCGGGTTTTTTTTCCCAATCACAATTATTACTAGTAATTATAATGACACAGCTCATCCACAACCATATATATATAATACATGACACAGTATCTGAGACAACTGATTCTTCCAAATACTTTGTATAGTTCCCTGTCATTTTACACATCAAAATAAAGATGAAGTGGAACAGTATAACTTTAAATAGTGTCGTAACACTATCACTTATCAAACGTTATGTTGACATTGCAATTATTTCCTGAAAATTGGGTGTACATTTTACAGCAATTCTTTTTACTTTGTTCAAGATTTTGCTACTGCAAGACATGATCTTAATTCTTCCACAAGCACAACTTTTAAGGTAAGCATAATTGTGCATAGGAAAAAAAGTTGCATTATTAAACTGTTAACATCATTTTCACATTCTGCAAACAGAAGATATTTAATATAATAATAGTTCCCAAATGCTTGTTAATACTGTAAATTACTTCATTTGTGAGCATTATAAGTAAACCCAACATAACTATGATTATCCTACTTTATTTTAAAGCCAGTGTGCATATTTCTTTACTTAAGAATTCTTCTACCAGTGAACTTAGTGTTCAGACTTAGATGCTTGTGACAAAGAAAGCCCAGGATAAAGAATAACCTATCACTTAGCTATTTTATGAACACGTCACAGACGCTTTTAACTTAGAACATTACAGATATGCAACATTTACACTAAAACAGAACTAGAAGCTTCAGTAATACATGCTGATTTCCATACTGGACCTCCTATTTGCTTTAGAACTAATTCAACCCCCCCTAAAGCCAAGAGGTGTCTCTCTACTGACTTCAGCTGCATTAAATTGGCCACATGGCCCAAGCAAGGTTATTTAATATGCAGTGCCTATTTGGCACAATTTTACTACTTCAACTATTCCTGTAAACACAATTCCAGACAACCAGTTTAACTTTCCAAATTAACAGAATAGCTACAGGGGAGTAGTTTCCATTTGTCAACAGATATATTATAGAAAGTTGGTTGCACTACCTCATTACTCTTGCTTTGTGAAAGAGCCAGGCTATCATTTGTCAATTCCTCATCATCTGCATTATTCCTGTTAAGAACTTTACTCTTCTTCTTCTTGGATCCTCCATCACTAGCCGTGCTGCTATTATCTTCTTCATTAGCTTCCTCATCATTGTCATCCTCATCACTTCCACTCCCATCATCTTCATCATCCTCATTATCTCCATCACTCCCCTCTTTTCGCAGTGCGTTTTTTCCTTTTTTTTTCTCAGCAGTAGGCCGCCAGTCATTGTCATCTTCACTATCATAGTCATCCATATCATTCAGTTCTTCCATCGATACAAAATCCAGCAAAGGTCGGTTCCTGCGCAAATTCCATTTTTTTGGTTCATTTGTTTGCTCATCAGGCACAGCATCAGGTTCAGCTGCTTTTTCTTTCTCTTTCTTCTTTTTTGGCTTTTCTTCTTCATCTTCTTGCTCTTTCTTTTCAGTTTTAATTACCTCTTTGTCTGCTGTTGGTACCTCTTCTTCAGCAGAGCTTTTAGGCTGTTGTTCTTCTACTTTCTCTTCTGCTGGTTCCTCCTCCAATATATTTTCTTCTGATTCAGTACAGGAACCTTCACCACTGTCCTTTGATGCATCTTCACTCCCATGACCACTTCCTTCAGAATCTGTTGAGCATATGAAAATTTAAAAAAAGTTCCGACACAAAAGTACCCCCAAAAATAAAATCTGTTGAAGCAAGTTTGGACACATGGTGGTGTCCAAATATTGCTATTTCAAGTGGTATGTTGAGAATCTGTTAAACATGAGTGCATTTTAAGATGAAAAAAAATAAATATGGCAGAATTTATTAAATGAACATTAAATGTTCCTTTGATTTGCAGCTCATATTAACAATAAGTAGTAGCACAGAATAATTTCCATGTGAAGACACATCTTAAAGAAAGAGCATTCCAGTTTTTAACTTCTGGAGGTGTTTCCTAAATCTTCAAAATAAAATACCTATCCAATAGAAGAGAGATTTTAAATTACAAAGTTAAGAGTTTATGTAACAAGTACTAACAATAGCATGGATAATCCCCCACCTTCATTTTCAGTAAAGATTTTATTTTTTCTGGGTTTGGGGACTCTTAATTTCCAGTGTTATTTCACTTATTAATCCCACATAAAATATGCCCCATTCAATGCTGCAGCTGTACAACAGTGCAGAAATTCTAACCTTACACCACTCGTATGGTATTGTTCTGTGCCTAGTCACTACTTCCATTAATGAACACAAGCCAATCTGTTCAGTAGAAAAGAACAGAAGAGGACTTATATGGAAAAAAAAAAAAAAATCACAAAAATAAGGTATCTGTACTATCCACATAAAAAACATTGAAAAAGATGACAAATTAAGTTCTTAAATTTTATAAACACTATCCACCTTGACCATCTCTCACATTCATCTACTACTTTTCACTTACAGTATTAGTTTTAAGGAAAAAAAAACCTGAGAAAATTTTTTAAAATTAACAAGAAAATATAAAGTTCCTTGATCCAACACAGTGATCAACTAGGCAATGGCTACAGTTTTCAATTCATTCAGGGCCATCACCAAGTTATTGATGCACTGTCACATAGACGCAAAGAAGAAACATGCCGATACTTGCAAACCAAAAAAAATCCTAAATCACTTCAGTTACCACACAAAAAAATCCCCACTCAACGTCACCTCACACAGAGAATTTCTGTGCGCATCCATCTCTGTATAAAACCAAACAGTGGAGGCAGTGTGCTACATGCTTCACATGACATTTATTTCCGCCCCACAGAACGCTGCCGATGACTACCCAGTAACTCAGTTATTACTTCAATACAATGGTCAGCTTTGTCTTTTCCTGCATATACCTGTATGTGGAAGTATTTGATGAGGAGACTATATAAATCTCAAACAAAAAAAAAAAATCCATCAGCACCACTACTAGTGAAGGGGACATTAATGTTATCAGTCCTCTTACAAGCTAATAGAAAGTAAAACTTTCCTGCAAATATTCTACCCTCTACAGAGCCAAGGAAAAAAAAAAAAAAAAAAAAGGGAAAGGAGTAAAAAAAGTTTTTTACCT